TCTTCCGATATCGACGATTTTGGTATCGTTGGATTCCTCTCACTCTGTACAATCCAAATAGGAAACCCCCTGTTAGCGGCAAACTTGGCCCCGATAGCAGGGGAGACGATGTCGGTGCGGCAGACATAATTTAGAAAATTACCCTAATAATATAACCCACAGTGAAAATAACCATGGTTATTCACATGACTTTCCATTGCAGGGGGCTGCCGCCCCCCAAACCCCCACCGAGGACACAAAATATCCCCCACGTATTCACGGCAGGATAGAGGGCACATGAACTAGATGCATCGAGAAAGGTGCAAAACTTGCCGACCCGACGAGGGGGAGTCACCACCACTCTTCTGTTCATGGTATATCTTGTTTATCCTGATTATACTACAATCGTGTCTGTATACAATGCTGACTATGTCAAGGTTAGTATGCTGATTCAGTGGGAATGTTACGAGGTAAATGTAATACGTCTGCCGCTCCAAGATCACCGATAACTGTGTAACGCTCTAGCCTGCCGGGAATACGTGACGGAGGTTTGTTTCCTCGGCGGGGGTTGGGACGGCAGGGGGGGTTGCAGGTGGCACAGCCCCCTGCAATGGAAAGTCATGTAAATGACCATGGTTATTTTCACTGTGGGTTATATTATTAGTGTTATTTAACCCCGCATTTTCCCTGGAACCTTTCATGCCCTCCCCTGTTACCGGGGCCAAGTTTGTTGCTAACGGGGGGTTTCTGCGCAATAAAAACTATGTATTTGCAATGTGGACAGTGAGAGGAATCCAACGATACCAAAATCGTTGATATCGGAGAGGCGAAGGTAATATAGAAAATTACCTTCCTTTTAATATTTTATCTGAGAAATTATTTTTTTTATGTTTCTCTTTGTGTAATTTCCATAACATTATAATTAAAGAAAGTGAAGTTAGCTGAAAATAAAAGGAGATAATGGAGATTCTGAGATTTAAAAAGCTTTTATCTTATAAATCATAAATCATTATAAGACAAACAATTTATCTCTTTTAAACTCATCTCTCAAAATCAAGAACATACCTACTATTCAATGAAATACAGAGTATGGTAGAGGTTACAGACACCGACACGTGTAGATAGAGATAAATGGACACTGCCATCTTATAGAACGGAAGAAATAGTGGGATTGATCATTAGTTTAAGCTGCAGGGGCCTTATAGTCACTGCTAAATGACAAAAATATAACGCACACTTACCTTTCAAATTCATAGTCCAGCAACTTGTTTGTGCGGAAGAGAAACACTGCTCCGGCTCTAGCAGTTGCTTTAAGCAGCTAACAGTGCAGTTCTTGCCCTTGGAGTAAGAATTCTAGACCAAGCAAACCCCTGCTTAAAACACTGTAAGACCTCAATTCCATGTCACAAAATTTATTCAACAATGTAAGATGCGGTAACTGGGGGTGCCTATTGGGCACTGCCTGAGGGGAGGGTTGATGGGGGTCTCTATTCTCAACACCCCCTCGGAAGCATTGTCTTCATTTCATATACATGGCAAGGTAAAGTTGAGACCAAGTGGATTTAAATTGTGAGCAGTGCTTTCCCCAGTCTTTTTCTTTTATTTATGACATTATTTTTCTCATCTGCAAATTATTTCTTGTATAGACAATTACAATTTTTAGTCCTCTTCAGGTATATCATCAGTTTGCCCTACCTTAGCATCCATACCATACAGATTAACCTGATTCTTTTTCCAGATTTATGATTTGTGTGTGCTGTAGACTGTCAGTATTTTGGGTGATTGTTTAGAAGACCTGTGTAACTAGGTAGAGCTTAAGCATTTCCCTTTTTTGACAGTAAATTGCATTGAAAGTCTACAAGTTGATAGGGACACACTAAACTAGGGCAAATTTGAGATGATATCCGATGTGCAAGAAATTATTAGTAGACATGAACAATAATGCCACAAAGAAAGGAAAAAGATCACAGAAAGTACCATTCAAAGTCTAAATCCAATCAGTGCTCCAGAATTTCAGCTGTATCTTGCGGTGCATACTGAGGCAAAGACAATCTTTACCCAATGACCCCACTGTAAACCCAACCCCAGTCATTGTAATAGAGATTGTTGAATAATTATGTGGTGTGGAGTTGCGGACTCAGTCTCGTGTGTGTGTGTCTGTACTGCAAAGAATTACTATTTTGTCTTGGCAGAATATATGAGGTTTATTGGCATTTTGCCAAAATTTTCTAACTTTTAAATGTAAATGCTTAGGGTTGATATTCATGTTTTTATGTATGAAATGTAGTTGAGGACTTTCCTTCTCATTTAATGATTAATGACCATCTTGAAATTTAGAGTAATAGCAGATATTCCTTTTATTTCTATGATAGTAAATGCATTTTCTGAGAGAAATGTTTTTCTTCAAGGTTTCCTAATATGATTTGTTCATGTTGATACATTCAAATCTGTGCATATATCATGATACACATAAGTACACACACACATGTAATTATAGCCATGTACTTATAATTATATTTTGTATGTTGACACAGCACAAGACAGGTGGCAAGACACAGCAAAGATGATGTACTGCCCGCCCAACATTACTTTCGACCATATATGGGTTAACCATGGCATATCTCACTGCTTCCTGGATACTGTCACTTCTGCAGTCTATGCCTTATTCATCACCATCTTTGGGGGAGGCCAATGGCTCATGTACCGCAAGTATGCCACCATGACAGATCAGTACCTGCGGCCAAAGTCTGTGCTCTTTGGGATCCAAGTCGCATTAACAATTCTCATGGTTTTCATAGCTACGGCAAGGCTTATTCTACAAGCCACAATTATTGGTAAGTCTTCATTTTGTACCTTTGAGGAGGGATCACATGAGTGTGTAAATTTTGTTTTTGATATGTATGATATGTAGTTGTTATTTTATTTTCGTTCTTTCTTTTTACTGCAAGAACTTTTTTTGGTGCTGCTTAACTTCACATCTAGGTTGAAATATCTGCAGCCATTTAAAGAAAATATACAGTTAGAACATATTCTCTAGATAAAGTTATTGATATTGAACTTGCTTTCATCAGGTGACCGCACACTCTACGGGTATATGATTGTATACCACGTGTGCAACTTGGTGTGCTGGCCATTATCACTAAGAATAATATTCCTGGAGCGCAACTATCTCCTACCCACTGTGCCCACAAGAGGACATGGAGTTGTGCTTCTCATTTTCTGGACTCTTGTTTTCGTCAGTGAGAATCTCGCTTTCCTCAATTTACGCAATGAAGATTGGTGGTTTGACCTGACCACGTAAGTATTTGTTTTTCTTTTTTTCTTTTTTCTTTTTTTTTTTTTTAAGGACTTGAAAATTACTTTTTAATGTTACCATAAGTTAAGAGAGATCTCATCCAAAATAATGCACTGAGAATTTATTATTTCACTATTTAGATTGGCTATATATGTAGTATTTTACACCCACATGGACACCCCCACCTTAAACTGTACTACTTTTACTTTAGGAATCCTTTTAGATAACATGGTGATTATGCTCAACAGGATAACAGACAAGTTGGAATTTGTCCTCTTCATTCTCCGATATGTGGGTGGCTGCCTGCTCTTCATTTTGGGTCTGAAAGCACCAGGAATCTCTACCCTTCGCGACTATGTTAACTTTGGAGGAACAATTAATAACCAAGAGGAGCAGGATGTAAGTGACGATGAGCTAAGACATTGATTGGACTTTCGATTAGGTTTGCTCTAGTCCAATTACTTCCCAATGTAGTAGTTAGTTCAGATATTTTACATGTGTCTTTTAAACGAGTGTTCCAAGACTGGTGATACTTTGTCATCAGCTGATGAGAATGTGAAGTGAAGGTGGTATGTGTTTCAAGATTACTTAAAACAGGAAAAGGAAAAAATACTATGCTTTTCTGCTAATCTCCTTTTGGCCTGTTGTTATTTGGGGACTAACTAGCAAAGGTATTTGTGTGCATGTTTCTTATATCCTGTTTCTTAATGAGTCCTCTTACCTTTGCATGTTTAGTTTAGTTTTCTAATTTGAAGAAACTGAAAAAAATTCAATGCTGCTGTAGATGTATGTGATATATATATATATATATATATATATATATATATATATATATATATATATATATATATATATAATATATATATATACATACATACATACATACATATAACTAAGTACATGCACAGACATAGTCATTGGTATAATCCTTGATTGTCTTTGTCCGAAGTCTATTTTTTATTCACTTTGGCCTCCTTCAAATATTGCTTTGAAGAGCAAACTGCAAGCATGAAAAATTATATTTATCTCATTGAAATTTATAAATATATATCTTATATATTAAGGATTTTTTTAAATGAGAGAGCATCTCCAAGATGATCACAATATATTAGTCATTTGTTCAAATTTTCTCTGAGTGGCGTGGTTTCAGCTAGATGCTTTTACAAGATATGGATGTAAGTCATGAAATGTAAGGCAAAGTGAAAACCTTCTGATTTGGAAGTATTCCTGCCTTAGTATTTATACTTCACAAAAATGAACATTTATGTATCAAGCATTACTCTTCCATTTTAAAATACTCATTTTGATTTGTGTGTTTTTGTGTTAGATGACTATCTTAGAAGGCCAGATTTTTTTTCCAGATTTCTTGTGTAACCCTTTTATTTTTATATATTTTCGCTATTATTTTAGAATTAAAGGACTAAATTCATTTTGAAATGTGTATATACAGAAATTTATTATTTTTTCTTTTCTTTTCCTTTTCCTTTTTTTTTCTCTTTTTTTTGTGTATTATGTTCTATTATATTTTTGTATTTTAGATATTCTGCTAATTAGGTTTTAATTCTCCTTCTTTACTGTAGCAATTGCTCAAATATTTTAAGTTTGATTTTATGTAAAATAGAGTCTATATATATTTTAGACTTTGAAGATTGATAAATTCCAATTTTTAAAATGAAAAAGCAAGATTTTCATCATGATTTTTTTCTTTCTTTTACTATTATGTCAAAGCTGCAATGCCTTTTTTCCTGCTGATAAGTAAAGCAATCTAATTTTTTATATTTCCTGTGCTTGTCCCAGCAGCTTATGTAATCTGAAAATAAATGTTTTGAATTTCTGAAATGCTTTTACTGGCAGAAGGAATAAACATTTTCAAGCAGTTTTATCTTCTCTTCAGTTTCCTTCTTATATTTTCATTTTTTTGTGGTTCTCCCTTTGTCTGGTAATGACAGTCCAGAAAAGGGGATTCACTTCAGCAAATGTTACTAACAACCATTTTGAGGTAGATGGTTTTGAGTTTTTCATCTTTTTTTCATCCCATTTCACTTCATTGCATGCTTTTCTATGCATTGCTAGTCAGGGCTATTTGTGCTAGTGCAACTTTCCAAACACCCAAAGTTGATTTTTTAGCTTTTTCAGAATAAAGCTTACAAAGTGCTCTAAGAGTTACATGGCTGGAAGGAGAGCAGATATTTACTGGAGTGGTAGCAGTGCACTGGACATACTTAAAAAAAGATTGATTAATCTCATATTGAGAGTATTTAAGTTAGTGTTTATGTTGAAGGAATTGGCAATACTTGTAAGAAACATGAACAGCTGTAGATTAGTGTTACAACAAAGTCTTGGGGATTATCATTACAGTATTAGATTTTTTCTCAAAAGTATGGGGATATACATAAAGTATTAGAAGAGACAGCCCGTCCATATATCTGTCTTGTATGCATAAGCAGTTTTTAATCTATATTTTAATACAGACATGTTTTATATTCTTGCCAGTTAAGCATAAGACTTTTATATAAGATAATGATTCAGTGATAATTTAAGAATTATTTCAAAACCTAGTTAGCTTTTGTGGGATAGTGGCAAGCAAGTGGTACAGAGTATTTTAAATAAAATTCTACTGACATACATTAAAGTATTAATAGCTTCAAAAACTATGTAATCAGAATAATCCACCAGTTATAATGACGAATATAGTCTACACCCTAAAAAGTATTCTTTCTCCCTTGTTTGTTTCTTCTTTATCATTTGTGTTCAAACCAGAAAAAGATTTAAAGTGTATATAGCCTTCAAGAAGATATTTATTTTACATTTTGATTTGTTTCATTTTATTTATATATTCATATATTTCTGATGACAGGCAGCCATGCCATTAAACCCAGTGCCGACGGGTAAAAATGTTTGGCAAGTGGAAGTAAGAACAGGATTGTTGGCGTGCATCGGCAGTTTCCCCTGTTTGCACCCGGCTCGATTGGTAGTTTGTGAGCGACATTTAGCACCTAAAAGCTTTTATTTTGTTATAATTTATAAAAATATTATAATTTTGACGGTTTACCTTCATTATAGGTGTCATTGCCTAAAATCTTAACCATATAAATGAAGCCACTACTATCAGAGAAAAACAAACTCCAACCGACGAGCCAGTGGCACGGGAAACGGGCATGATACAATGCCATCTGTGTTTCGGTCCTCATCAGCCTTGGCATATACGTACATGCCACCCATTGGCTAGGGGTTAATTATTTGTATAGTGTAAAGGATGACTTGGGGATGCTTTGCCAAAGACTTCTCTTTCCTCTGCTTGATGGGTCTCATATACGCTCAGACCACTGTTTGCTTCCCTGATCAAAACTGGTAAATCTGAGTATATGGGCCTTTGAGGCTACCTGAACAAGGGCTGGAAAGATCAACTGACCAACTTGACTATGTCAGGCTAATATTTGGTTCATCTATGTGTGTGAGTAGAACCCATATTTTTTTAGACTGGCCAGTCTCTTTAGCAGGTCAAACCAGTGAAACAACTTGAACATGGAGGGACTTAATACCTAAATGTTACATACATGGGTTTGCTCACACAGTAATGTGAGAGGATTATATGTAAATCAACATAACACTGAATTTACAATAAAAATATGTCTTATAGCAAGACATTGTTAACCCCACTTCACCAGGAAAATGTGTTCACTGTAGTATTATTATGTGAAATGGCTCTGCAAGTGCTTAGCCAGAAAGGAGTAGATTTGTAGCCCTTGTGACTTGACCTGCCTTTATTTTCTAATACTATTACTATCAGTGCTGTTTTTATTATTATAGACATTACGATTATGATGTTATTGACATTACTAACAGTAATATCAGATACCAGAAAATATTTCCAAAAATCAAGGAAAATAGTAAATAGATGAGATAGGTAGTACTCATAATTGGCTCATTGGTGACTTAGTCATCTGTGTGTAAAGGCAATTAATAAACAAAACTCAAAGTCAGCATGGCATGTATGTATATGCCACTCGCACTGGCATCAAACTAATAGCATTAGAAAAAAAAAGATAGAAAACTCAGTGAAGGTGAAAATCAGGTGAGGGCACATATACTACTAATTGTCTCTGTAATGGATGAGCACTAATGGAGATATCTATGTGTAGATATGTTTCACAAAATACTACTACAGTGAACATCATTTTCCTGGTCCCATTGGGGTAAGTGTTAGCTAATTAGAATGAAAAAGAGACTTGGTGAGGCCTAGGTGAGTTATTTTCATTCACAAGAATGGATGCACTACAGTTGTTTAAAAATGAGTGTATGCTGTCCGAGAGAGTCCTCAGGCCAATTACTTGGACATGCATTTATTATGAGGTAGAGGGCATTAAGCATGAACATATCGACTCTTTATCTTATAGATAAAAGTTTAAACGAAAAACATTTAACATACTTTTTCAGGCATTTGGTCTAAGAACACCATTGGCGTGCATATCTTTAAATAGTCTGGTTTAGGAGAGAAAAGATGGTACTGCAACAATTAGTCTAGTTTACTGAGTGTTTGCCATAGTTTATATTTGCTCATTCATGAAAATTGCAACTTAACATTAGAATTTAGAGATGAGTTTGATGCCTGAGGATGAAAAAGAAAGAGATTCATCCATATATCTTATAAACACAATTTTACAACACAAGTGTTGTAAAATTTCTGCATTTATTTATCGTCAATTGAATACTTGAGTATTATATTCACTGGAAATTGAATCATCAGTTACAACATTCTTTTCATTTTGGATAATATTCTAAGATACAGTATTTTTGATATATGGAAACTGGTCACAGATTTTTTTTTTTTTTCTTAATTTTTTTTCTTTTTTCTCTTTTTCTTTCATTTTTTTCTTTTCTTTTGGCTACCACATTGGAAAAGAAGCAGAGAATTTAATCAAGTTAGTCAGACACAGCTCATTGCCTTTTTATACTCATTTGATACAGAATCTTGTCAAGGACAGCTCAGAACCAGCATAGCACATTGGTATGCATTATCACACCTTACATCATACAGACATGGCCAGGCATACACAACATGTATTGAGCTACTATAACGATGTGTGTTATGTCTTGCCTTTACAATAAAAGAGATCAACAAAAAATGGTATTTTTTGCATTTTACTTTTTCAACTTGTAAGTTTTATCATATTTTTTCTATAATCTACTATTTGTCATTATCATCATTGGTCACCGTCATTGCCATCAATCACTATCATCAACAGTTGTTATTATTATTACTTACCTTCTTTATCTTCATCTCCTTGGTCTCCTTTTTCCCATTTTCTGTTAAATCTTTTCTTCATCTTATTTTTTTTTTTTTTTTTCCTTTTCTTCTTGACTTCTTCATTTTCTTCATATTTCTTCCCATTTTTTGT